GATACTTAAATGAACACTTTCCAAAAGAGGAAACATATGTGGCTAATAACTATTTTTGAAAGTTTTAATGCCCTTTAGTCATCAGAAAAATGCAAACTAAAACTATTTTGAGATACTACTTCTGTCCAATCAGAATCAGTATCAAGAAGAAACCTGACAACAAATGTTGAAAGATGTGAAGAAAGAGAGACATCCTTTTCACTGCTGGTAGGAGCTCAAATTACTACAGCCTTAATGGAAATCAGTTTGGAGATTCCTCAAAAATTTAAAACTAAAACTTGCATGTGACTCAGCTATTTCATTCCTGGGCATGTACCCAGAGAGAAGTCTTCAAAATACTGTAGATTTGTTTGTACATCTACATTTACTGCTGCTGTATTTACAATAGAAAGGAAATAGAACCAAAGTAAACGTCTATCAGCAAATGAATGAATACTAAATATATTGCACAATTTAGAAGTGGAATATTACTTAGCTGCAAAGAAAATTAAATTATGAAATTTGAAGGGAAATTTACGAACTCAAAAAGTATAATATTAGTGAGGTCACCCAAATGCAGAAAAATGGGTATTTCCTCCTCTTATTATTCCTCATATTAAGCTATGATTTTTATCTCTTTGTTGTGGTGGATAGATTAATAAAATAATGATTAATAACAAAAATATAAAACCCTAAGCAAAGCTCCACAGTCTTAGAGTAGCCACCTGAACTCTATAGTCCCCTGGGATACACAAAATTGGACTGAGGAGTGTTTGAGTGACTTCCTTAACATGACTGCGATATTTTTATTTGTGAATTAAATACAATGAAGTTATAATTAAGAAAATAAGTAGGTAGTAAGATTAGAGAAAATAAGAAAAATAGACAAGATTTTAAAAAGTGAAGAGTGATCTTCAGAAGAAATTGTGTAATGTGTTGGGGATGATGGGGACAAGCAGACCTGTGTTTTCAGGTCCTCAGTGCTCACTAAACCCTGTGACTCTAACTGTACTCTTCCCCTATTACCTCACATCTTTTAAGTGCACTGGTGAGAATTCCCAATCAGTTAACAATTTGGGGGCCAGTTTACAGAGAGGAAATGGAATAGAGCCCAATGCGGTTTGGAGTAGGGTGTATTGCAAATTGTCAAAGGTCCTTCCTTCTTCCCTCTCTCCCTCCCTCCCTCTCTCCCTCTCTCCCTCCCTCCCTGCCTTCTTTCCTTCCTTCCTTTTCCCTCTCCCTTTTTTCTTCCTTCCTTTGTCCTTCCTCCCTAGTTCTCTCCCTTCCTTCCTCCCCTCCTTCTTCCTTTATTTTTCTCCCCTCCTTTCCTTCCTTCCTTCCTGATCATCCTTTTCCTGTTTCCCGCTTAGGTGTTCACTCTTGCTTTCACTCTCTTTTACTTGGGTACATTAAATGCAAATTTCAATTGTCTTTCCCTAATATAGAAAAATTTGTCTCTATATAGAGTTATAATGATGCAACAACTGCTAAATTAATGATATTAACTCCTTAGCAACACAAGTCTCTGATTCCTTTGTGTCCCATCACCACTGTCATTACTATTTTTTTTTAGATACCATGTTTTTTTCTTGTGTGTCATTGCTGCAAAGTCTTCCTATATCTTAGTTCACCTTAATCCAAACTGTTCTTTACATAGTCCCCAAAAGCTTTTTCTAAGTTTTAGGTCTGACAGAGATGCCCTCCTTCTTTACCGTTGCAGCTATCATCTGCTGAAATCGTGCTTCCAGATTCTTCTTTGTCTTTCCTCATTTTTTTTACCTTCCTCATCTATTTGGACTTATTTGCTAAGCCCCTTATCTCCCAAGCTTGACTCTTCCTTATGAGTAACCCCCATTAGTTTCCTTCCAAATATTAAATTGGTTCAGACACCATTTATTTATCAGACAGTTGTTGAATGAGTGGTGAGCATTATGTTAGAGACACACAAAACACCTTCTGGAGCTGTTATGATACAGTAAACTGGAATTGAGCCCCCAGTGTTGTACAGTCGGTATACAGAACAACTGTAGTTCATCAAAATAGCTAAATGCCACAGAAGACATGTACTGAACAAAGACAACAGAAGGCAAACTTCCCAGAAGCAATTGCAATATGAATTCAATTTCATTAAATAGCAGTATGACATTAGAAGAAGCTCAAGTCCATTTGCTGTTATATGTACAATGTACCTCACATTCTCTACAATAGACTCAAACACTTAGCCTAGTTTATTATAAGGAACAAGTATAAGTAAGAAGAAGTTGGGTCTAGCTTTGGCTACTGTATTGCTGATCTTTAGAAGCCACATTTTTACTAAGTCAATCATTCTAGATTGAATTTATAGATAACAACTATTAGTAAGTGATAAACTCACCAGTCTACTTAGCTGTTATCATGGGTGATATCATTATATCTTGCAATTTTAATGCCATGCTTTCCCACTGTTATAAAGAAGTGCCTGCTCCCTTCTTGCAAGAACCCTTGGTAACAGTTGCCTTTCTTTTAGAATTCAAATAGATTGCCCATGAATTGGCTCAGCCTTGTGTATTTCTCTTCACCTTTCTCTGATGGAAAGAGAATGCTAGTTGAATTGGAAGTGAGTAAAGTGAAGTAAGCTTTGTACTTTGGAAACGAGTCTACCCCCACTGATTCGTGGACAAAACTATCTATTTCAGATTATTCTATTGAACTCCATAGATTGTTTTCCTTTGAAGCTTTCTATCAGAATTCATCTGTCTTCATTATTTTTTGTTGTTGCTGTGATAAAACACAATGACAAAAGGACCTTAGGGCAGAAAAGGGCTTATTTTTTACTTACAGTTCCAGAGGGAAACAGTGTATTACTGCATGAAAGACATGAGATCAGACTAATAAGGCACATGACCAGAGCTGGAACCTTGCTGCCCACATTTCCTCTACACATAAGAAACAGATCAGAAAGTAAGTGAGGACAGGCAATAAACTGTTAAAGTCCCATGACATACCTTCCAGAGGTTCCATAACTTCATAAACAGTAATACCAACTGGAAACCAAGTGTCCAAAGACATTATCACAAGGCAGACATTTCACATTCAAACAACATACCCTCTGAATTCCCAGTTCAGGTAGCTTTGCTTGGTTTGGTAAGAGAATGAAATATAAGGTGGATTGTAGTGACATTGCTTTCAATTATCTGTTTTGTGGTTGGAGATTTAGTTTACTGCTAGAATGCTTCCCTAAGAACTGAGGCCTAGGTTTCATCTCTAGTACTGAATAGAGAAAGTGAGCCTGTGACTTTAAAGATAGATTATAGTTTCTTTTTTAGCAAAGTGAGAGGAAACAGAAATAGAATAACACTGGTCCAAGTGACAACAATCTGTTAATTTTCATTGACGGCTGGCAATAATGGTTACTTGTGTCACTCTGACTCAAAAGAAAGCATTTAAAATTTTAATATAACTATTATAAATGTCTTAAAATACATCATTTAGACCACATGACTCAGAATAGAATGACTTTGCAGGATATATGCCAAGGGTAAATGCCTACACAGGCAAGCAAGTAAGTAATCATGAAAGTCATTAATAATTTAAAAAATCAAAACAGTCTTTCAAATCAAGCCTGTAGAGACTCTTAATTTCTCATGTGAGCTATAGCATGGTAATTCTATAGTTGGCTTCCTTCACAGTGTATTCATCTGGTTCCCCACCTTACCTTCAATACCAGAAAAGCCACCAGGTAAAATAATTTTCATGTGAGGAGTTTTACGGACCTATTTAGAGTTTGAGGGTGAGATTCTAAGTGTTCTAAATACAGCTCATTATTTTAGTATTATAATACATAAATTATTTATTTGAATGCAAATTAATGAATATTAGTATGTAGATAATTGCACTAAATATTTGTCAATAACTTGTATTTTTAACCATTGAAATATGATTTATTTTCAAGAAATGTCATTGACTTTTAGGATTACAGTAGCATGAATTGTTATAAATGTATAGTCAAGTAGCTACCACAACAATAGATATATAAAATATTTCTCTCACTCCACGACATCTCTTTGGAGTTGCCCTAAGCTTGGGTTCCAATGCTGCAGGTCCTGGTTACTGGAGAACATCAGATTTCTTCTACAAAAGGTTTGCCTTTACTATAATTCATGTGATGAATAACATGGTATCTAATCCTGTATACATGGTTTCTTTCACTTACCATGATTCAAAGACCAATCCATTTTGTATGCTAGTATTACACTTTAATATTTCTAAGTCATGTTTCTAAATGTATATGCTATATTTTATTTCTATTTTCCAGTTGATGGATATATTAAATTTTTGCCCAATGCAAATATAGCAGCTATGGTCATTGAGCACAAGTCTTGTTTTCATTTATAGAACTGCAATTGTGGTGATGTGGTAAAAATGTTTAATATGTTAGAAATTTCCAAATTATTATTGCAGTACCATTTTATGTTCCTATCAACAATGTGTGAGACTTCAATTTTCCAAACCTCTTATAAACATTGGCTATTGTGTGACTTATTGATTAGAAATTTTTACTGGTTATGACATGATATTCCATTGTGTGTTCACATCCCCTTCTCCTAGTCATATCGTGCATGCCTTTTGGGTTTACTCGTCATTCTTATATACAGTTTTTTTTGTTATTGCTGTTAAGTACCTGTTGTCTGTTTCTGGGACTTTGTACCTAATTTTATCAACCATATGCTGCTTGTAAAAGTGGGAGAGTTAAGAGCCAGAGGCTCGAAGGACAGATCCGGGAGTGACAGAGAACAATTCACAGTGTATTGCCCAGTGACTTTTGAGGAAACAATTCAGAGATGTCACGTTCCTATGTGGACAGAAGCATGAGTCTGTTTACACATTTCAAATTCAATACATTGTCACTCTTTGAGACGTATGATGATTCATACAGCATGTTCTTTACTGAAAAGGAATGCATTAGTGGTCAAGAGAATTAGTTTCTAGGCATGGTATCTACTGGGAAATTTTTTTTGAAGATTATTGTGTAAGAATAAGAAGTTCTATTTACTTCACCAGCACATATCCTAAAATTGAAATAATTCAGAGATTAACATGGCCCCTATGCAAGGAAGACACAAATTTGATGGGGGATGTCATTCTGTATGTACGTTTCTCTTATTAGTTGATGAATAAAACACTGACCAATAGAGGCAGAAAGATAGGCAGGACTAGGAGATGAGGAGAATTTTGAGATAGGTAGGCAGGGAGAGCCTGCCAGGAAGAGACACCATGTAGTGACCAAAGGTGTAACAGGTCCAGGCATTCTCTGGTAAGCCTAGGCCATGTGAAAAGTCAATAGTTTTTAAATTAATATATGTATTTGTATGTTTATTGGGGCTAGGCAGAACTAGGCTGGAAAGAAAACTCCAGCAGTACAAATTCTTGAAGTGTTCCATATTTTTTAGATGTCCCTCAACTGAAGGATGGGTTAAGAAAATGTGGTACATTTGAGCAATGGGTTATTACCTAGTGGTCAAAAAATGAAATCATGAAACTAGCAAATAGATGTAACTAGAAAAAAACCAGACCCAGGAAGATAAATATGGTATGTACCCATTCATAAGTGAATATTATTTAAGTTAGGTATACGGGGAAGCATGAATCTTCCTGGGAAGGAAAAATCAAATAGATTCTGTAGGTGAACTGGGTTCAGGAGGATAAGGGATGGGAACAGGAGGGACTGGGTTGTGGGGGATGGAGGGAGAGAATGATAGAATTGGGGGGGCATTTGGCGAATGATGCAGAAATGTAATGTAGCAGAATCTTCCTGGAATCTATAAGGGTGACCCTCGTGAGGACTCCTCACTAGTGGATATAGAGTCTGAACTGGCCATTTCTTGTAGTCAGGCAAGGCTTCCAGTGGTGGGAGTTGTTGGCCAAGCAGGTCCTGTGCAGATTCATAAACAATGAAATGTGATGCTAGGATGGAAGCTCATTCTCTGAAAACTGAGAGTGGGGCCCCATTTCTGAAAACAACATCCACGCAGCTCTTTAAACGTTTAAAGGTTGAGTTGGTATGGACTTGGAGCCTTCATCCCTTCATTCTCTTAGGTACTCTGCAGGCTATGGAAAGAGAATCCAGGATAACCATCCAGGCACAAACCCACCACCTACAATCCTTCCTGCCTGTAAGGTGTGTTGGGGCAATAGTGGCACAGGACTTGTAGGAGTGGCCAACCATTATTTGGTTTAACTTGAGGTCCTCACCAAGAGAAGGAGGCTATGCCTTATGCTACCTGGATGGCCAGGAACCAGAGACTGGATAGCCCAGAGACTTAGGGTGAAACCAAACAAGACTAAACAACAAATCAATGAAATGATTCCTAATGACATTCTGCTATGTTCCCAGATTGGTGCCTTGCCCAGAAGTCATCATAGAGGCTTCCTCTGGCAACAGATGGGAGTGGATGCTGAGATCAACAGGCAAACGTTATGCAGAGATAAAGTCTAAATTGGAGGTCTCTACCAGGTCAATCCTGTTGGAGATCCAGGAACCCAGGGGAAGAGGGGGACGAAAGATAATAGTCAGATGGAATGGAGAACGTGTCCCACAAATCAGAATCCAGACATGATTACAAAGAAATTTGTAATCATACCCATTTTCAAAATGACATGAAATTTTATGAAGAATTCTCAAAATTGTGTCTTATTATTCTTTAATACCAATGATAATTTTTCCACTGTTGGTTTGGAATAATTCTTCTAGATTCATGTTTTGTTTGATTTTGGGTTCTGTCTTGCCCTGTTCATTCTACTTACTTTCATTATCAGATTTCATTACTGATTTTGTCTCTATTTTTTTGCAATTTCCATTTGTCAACTTCAGAAATCACAGTTTCTCTAAAATATAAATTCAATTCCTCTGTGTAATTTCTGCATAGATTTATGTAAAGATTTGTAATTTTTAAAAACTAATTCTATGGTGTAACTACATTTTTCTCATTTGAATGAAGGACGTGAGGCAAATTTTCACTGAGAAAAGCAAATTACTAGTATAGCTCAATGTCTTTGCAGAAAACAATGGCTAAAGTGATATTGATTAAATTTATGGTCTTTCTTTTAATTAAGTTTTTGCTAGAGATGGCTATTTTCTTACTATTAAAACTTGTTGGGTCCCTTTAATAAACAAGGAAACATTAGTGCTGGATCGTGGCTATCCTTTACTCCTTTTAATAAACAAGAAAACCTTTGTGCTGGATGTTGGCTACCCTTTAATAAGCATCTATTTACTGTGATTTACACTTTGGGGGAAATATAAGAACTTTGTTCTTTTGTTTATCTTTATGTGTCTGATAACTGATTTATGATGATGATGGAGTCTAAATGTTGCACACAATATGGTTGTGTCTACTAAAGGATAGTTATCCAAGATTTACTGTACTAAAGGTATTTATTTCATTAGGTTTCCATAAAGCCTTTGACATAAACAGTATTACACAGATTTTAAATATTGAAAAATGGATTTAAAGCAAATAAGCTTTGAATATACCTAACTACTAACAGCTACCAAGAAAATATTAGCTTCTGGAGGTGATAGTTCCATATGGCTCTGATGCCATGAAGACAAGCTCTGCACCAAGTCAAAAGAGACAAATTGTATCTTATTAAATCTGTACCCATCACTAAGAGGTACACTAAAGTTCAAAGGTGATTCTCACAAAATGCTTCCTGTCTGTAGAATGATCAGTTAAGATATGAACAAACATAGAAGGACTCAATCAAACAATATTTTTGTAATACTTTGATTAAAAAATTGGTAACTTATATTTTGAGATTCATTCAACTTTTCCAAAATGTCCATGGTTTTAATGCTAGTAATGGAAGAGATAGAGAGGTGGAAAGTGACAAATTGGTAGACTTATGTAGAGCTTTGTTTTCTGTTAAAAATCAGCATCTAAGAAAAAGCAGTAGAAAAAAAAACATTAGGAATCAAGCAAAATCTCCTTCATCTAAAGGGAACACTGACATTATAAGTGAAACGTGGAATATCATTGTCATTGTAAAGGTAAGGAGGAAGACTCAAATACATCAAAAATATGTCATGGGATTGTATTCAGTGCATAGTTCATTCCAAAGCCTTGGGAGTGCTTTCTTCCATCCTTCTCCCCCTGCACCATCTCTTCCATTTATCTTTTTCCTTTCAGATCCAGATTAAAATTGCAATGGTACCTGCATGTCTTAGTGAAAATTACTGGAAAACAACAGAAGACAAGGGTTTTAGTGGACAAGATTAATTTGTAAAATGTTCTCAGGTGAACAAGAGGGTAGCAAGAAGGAAAGATCAATGTGAAAATGTTGATTATGGATGTAGTCTCCCCTGGAGCTTTGCTTCCTTCTGGTTGCTGGGAGATGCTCAGAGGCAAAATGCACCACAATTAGTTGCTGGAATTGATTGATGCTGGGGACACATAGTGCTGAGTGCATGTGAGCCAGCTGGTCACTTCTGAGGGGATGGTTCCAATAAAGACCCCTGATGAGGTTCTAGCAGTTAGCTCTCCAGGCACTATCAGGTGAGGAGCTTCAGCAGGAGAACCTGGACTGCCCTCTATACACAATATAAGGCGTGGTGCTTCACTGAATGCCATTAGAAGAATGTCTTTGAATTTGTATTTATGTATTTCCCAGGCTCAGTTATAACCATGCAGTGATTGCCAATGACCCTGCAAGATTACCCAGAGGCAGGGACAGAGCAGCTACTTTATAGAAAGATGAAGGATAGTTTTTGGCTCACCAGTGAGGAGTTATTTGGAATTGCATCCAGCACTGTGCTTTTCCTATTCTTTAGTCAACACTATGAAAATGTTCTTCTGGCCTTCCAAACCCCAAACCCCAGCAAGCCCAGCTTCAGGTGAGATTGGGTCTCCAGCTGGGATCCCCCCGCGCCCGACTACCATCCCCTTGATCTTCGGGCCGCTCCAGGCATCCAGAAGACCCGCCCACTCAGGAAAGACATCAGCTCTTCCAAGCCCCAAGCCCTAGCGAGTCAAGCTTCAGAAGACCCGCCCACACAGGAAAGACATCAGCTCTTCCAAGCCCCAAACCCCAGCGAGTCCAGCTTCAGGAAAGACATCAGATCTTCCAAGCCCCAAACCCCAGCTAGTCCAGCTTCAGCTTCAGGAAGGAAGGAGACCAGTGGAGACAGAAAGACCCCACCAGCATCCACTGGAAGAAGAGATGGGAAGAAGACAGAATAAGAGCTCACTCAGCAATAGAAAGACCAACATGACCGCACCAGAATCTAGGGATCCAACACCAGCAAGACCTGAAAAGGACTACATAGACGAAGGAGAGGAGACAGACCTTAAAAATTATTTCATGAAGATGATGGACACCCTCAAAGAAGAAATGAGGAAATCCCTTAAAGAAATTGAAGAAAAAACAAACAAAAAATCCATGAAATGGGGGAAAAATTCAAGAAATAAACAAATCTCTCAAAGAATCTAAAGAGCACCAAGAAAACACAACCAAAAAAAATGAAGGAAACAACTCAAATAGTTGAAGGATTGAAAGCTGAAATAGAAACGATAAAGAAAACACAGAATGAAGGGATGCTGGAAATAGAAAAGCTGGGTAAACGATCAGGAACTACAGATGCAAGTATCACCAATAGAATACAAGAGATAGAAGAGAGAATCTCAGGTGTTGAAGACTCATTAGAGGATATAGAGTCATCAACCAAAGAAAATCTCAAAACCAACAAATCCTTAACACAAAATATCCAGGAAATATGGGACACCATGAAGAAGCCAAACCTGAGAATAATAGGTATAGAAGAAGGCGAAGAAATACAACTCAAAGGTACAGAAAACATATTCAACAAAATCATAGAAGAAAACTTCCCTAACCTAAAGAAAGATATGACTTTGAAAATACAAGAATCTTACAGAACACCAAATAGGCTGGACCAGAAAAAGAAGTCACCTCGCCATATAATAATCAAAACATCAAACCTACATAGTAAAGAAAAAATATTAAGAGCAGCTAAAGAAAAAGGCCAAGTAACATACAAAGGCAGACCTATCCGAATTACACCTGACTTCTCAGTTGAAATGATGAAAGCCAGAAGATCATGGGCAGATGTCCTACAAACGCTAAGGGAACAAG